GGTGCCATCTGTCTGGCACTGCTCATAAATGACTTATTCCTGGGAGTAGAAAGGGCACCACTCTATAAACTTAGGGTGAATTTAGACTGTAGTGACACATTAAAACCCTATCTGAGAAAAGGTGTAGCTCCCTCACTCAGAGCCCTTGAAGAAGCGGACACCTAGCGGTGCAATGGCAAAGGTCCTACATACTTGTCACCAGACATCTTCGGGTGTGTGTCAAGGGACTGGACAGGTAGAGAACTTCCAGCTTTCCTAGAGGCTTCAGCTCAGGCCCCATTGTTGATGCAAACTCCTTGAATTGCTGTCTGCCTGTCCTGTTCACCTGTCTGAACCTACTGTCCATTTGTCTTCTTGTTTGCTTATTTGTCTGGGCCTGGTCCTGCTCTTTTATCTCTAGAGCTGGACCCCGTAGCTATGCTCAAAATGTGATCCTCGGCAGCCTGGCTCTTCGTTGGCAGTTGGTCCATCAACTCATCCTGATAAACCCCTTTGCATTTCTATCAGTTGCCCAGCTTTGGTCTCTCAGCCTCTTTAAAACTCCCTGCTTACTTAACCCTTTGTAGCCATTATACAATGTACACACAAACACAGTCTATTAGATAAATAGATACATATACTGTGTGATATGTAATGTGTGATCTGAGGGTTAATGCTAGTAATTAAGCTTGGGGAAAAAAGAACCTGTGTTTGCCTCATCCAGGAATATCAAGGAAAGTGGGACTATCTTGCAAAGTGCTGCCAATGAAACTGTGGCACTTCATGAAATTTATTGTTATTCGGTAAATTCTGACATTGTAGAAAGACACAAGCGTGTTCTGACAGTGTGCTCATGACAGCTCTGGAGGCTTCCAGGGACCTGAACTTCCTATAGCATTTGTCTCATGTAAGTCTATAGGCCTAGCAATGACTTCTGGGTTCTGAAATGAAGGTTTACTGTCACCTTCTCTGCTCTACTCCTGACCATCTTGATAAGTCAGGTTGTTATAGCTCAGTCCAGAATTCCTGGAAGGGACATGGCCCCAGCTATTTCTTCTATGTGTCAGCTCTTTGTAAAGTACACAGTTCCAGGATTCCTGCAGGTACCAAAACCTGAGGATGCTCCAGGCTCCTACATAAAGTGATGCGGTATTTAATAAGTAATCTAAGCCATCCTCTGACCCCTCAGTTATCTCTAGATGACTTACAGTATTTGATACAAGGGAAAGGGATCTGAATAGCTATTATACTTGTGGTGTTTAAGGGATAATGACAGGGGGAAAGGCTATGTTCAATACAGTTGCATTTTTTTTCTTGAATATTTTTGATTCGTGCATCACAGCCTCAGTGGGAACAGAAGGGTAACTATGCTTGTTCATCTTTCTCCATCCGGCTGATAAGATCAAAGTTGGTCACCACAATGTCCATCTGAAGACAGGCTGATGTGTAAGGCTGGCTTGGCACAGATGGGTCAGTTACACCCCATGCAGTTCCCCTGGAATCTCACCTGGGAAACATGGACAGTCAACCAGTCAGTAGAAATTGGAAGGCTTTGAGAAAGAAAGCAGCCACACAGGTTAGGGGCAAACAGAGGGGTCAAAGCAGAGTACTGAGCTGAGGAGGCAGAAGGCTCAGAAGGGGGAAGGGCTGGAGCACACAAAAAAGAACCAAAACCAGTGAGCAGCCAAGACAAGGTGAAGGTGGCATGCTGGGGGAGGCTCCAAGAACTTCCGCTGATGGGCATGAGGCCGTCTTGAATTCTTGGAGACTTTCCTGCTCCAGACTCCTCAGTCCCAGGACATGGTATACTCCAAGAGATCCTAAAGTGCCTTCATGCACACATGCACACACATGAACACACACACAAACACACACACATACACCCCCCCACATTTGCATAGACATAAAAAATATATACTTTATAAATACCTACAAGTTGAATATTCTTTATCTAAATACTAGGGGACCAGAAGTATTTTGGACTGGGATGTTTGTGAATTGTGGAATATTTGTATTTACATAATGAGATGTCTTAGAGATAGACCACAAGTCTAAACATACAATTAATTTATGTTTCATATACAGCTAATGTATACAGTCTGGAAGTAATTTTATGCAACATTTTTTATATATTTATATTGTTATATTTGTATTTTGACTGACACTTCACATGAGGTTGGATGTAAATTTTCCACTTGTGGCCATATCAGTGCTCACAAAAGCTTATATTTTGGAACATTCCAGATTTTGGATTTCAGATTAGGAAATAATCTGTTTGAATAATAGCCAATATAATATGATATGATAAATACAATATAATATAGCATATCTGGACTGTACAATATAAAATATAGATAATAGATAAATATAAACATATATATTGCAAATATGACATACTCTCTACTCAAATGGGGGCTGGAGTCTAAAGTGTGTGTTAGGATAAAATTGTGTATAGTTGAGATTATTCCTTAGAGCCTTTTAGGGTCCCTGAAGAACACATGTGCATGGATTTGGTAAAGTCTGACTACGACCCTATGGTAATGTGTGAGTGCAAATGCTCGAGGCACCAAGCCCTTCCCAGAAAACTCTTGCTAAATAAGTGCAAATGAGAAAAAAGACCCTGGTTCCCACCCCCTGCCAGATACCCAGTGAAAATATCGTGATCTTAATTTGTAAGACTTTTTCCATCCCCAATGGCAAATGATTAATTCCTCTGGGCAAACAAATTGCCATGCCATTCCCTGTATGACAGATGTCCGCTGGGATTAGTTTAATTGGAACCCTCATCATTTTCCAAAGAGTTCAGTAGTTTTAATAATTGGTACACATGTAACAACTTCATTAAAACAGGAAACAAAAATCACAGAAAGGGGACCATGAATAACCCACAACAGCCAGACTGACATAATTCTAATAATGAACAACCAAACTCTTAAGTTTCCTGGAGGTAATGGGAAGGGGGAATCCTGGGTAAAATGAAGATTGTTTGATCATATAAATTGAAAAAGAGGGGTTTTCTCTGCACACTTTTTGAAAGCATCATTGCTCATGATTTCATCACAGCTGGCCTTACGTCTGCACACTGGATTCTTGCCTCTTTCTCCTCCTGAGATTTGGTGCTTATTCAACAACATCAGCAGCAGAATATAAGCACTACCCCTCACCTTTGGGCACCTTGACTCTTTTTTTTTATGTCTTGTAGGCTTTTCCATATCAGGAGGAAGAAGAAAAAATTCATTTAGGTGGTTACAGCAAAATACCTGAGTCTGGTAAACAGCAGTAATGTGTTGCTAGCAGTTCCGGTACTGGGCAGTCCAAGATCAAGGCACTGGCAGATAGAGTGTCTGGTGGGGGCTCATTGCTCATAGATGGTGTCTTCTAAGTGTGCCTTTGCATGGCAGAAGGGGCAAGCAAGTCCCTTGGCCTCTTTACAGGCACTAATCCCACTGATGAGAGTGAAGTGCCCTGTGTCTTAATACCACCGCAGGGGGTGTTAGGCCAGCCAGGAGTTACAGGAACAACCCTCAGACTCTTAGGCAAGCTCATCACCTGGCTGTACCATAGCTGATTTAACCACAGCCCTACTGATGTGGAGGTTGCTTCTAATTTTTTTTTACGCTACTGTAAAAAAGCTAGAGTTAATAATCTTATACATGGGATGGGAGAGTTAGCTCAGCGGTTAAGAGCACTGACTGCTCTTGCAGAGGACCTGGGTTTGATTCCCAGCACCCACATGGTGGCTAACAACTGTCCTAACTCCAGTTCCAGGGGTCCAGCACCCTCTTCTGACCTCCTTGGGCATTGCATGACACAGATGCACTTACATACATGCAGGCAATACACTCAAACACATAAAATTAAAAAAATAAGTAAAATATTAAAAAACAATCTCATACATATATAGTTCAATCTGTATAGTTTTCTTCTAAAGCATATTGCTGGGCCAAAGAGTAAATGCATTCATAACCTTGATATTCTTTTAAAATTTTTATTTCTTTTTAATTTATGTGTATGAATGTTATGCCTGCATGTATGTAAATGCACCATGTGTGCAGTGCCTGTGGAGGCCAGAAAGGGGCATTGGATCCCCCGGAACTGGATTTATGGATTCAAACCCAGGTCTTCTGTAAGAGCAGCTAGTGCTCTTAACCACTGAGCCATCTCTCCAGCCCCAACCTTGATATTCTTAACCTAGCTATTGTCCAATTGCCCTATACAAGGGTGCTACAGTTTATACCTCCACTAGCAGCCAGAGGGTTGGGTGCCACATCCTATCGATGACTGGACGTATCCTCCTGCCGTATTGCAGGGGTGAAGATACCTACTGCATGTCAGACCCATTCTCTAGCTATGCACACTGTCTGCTCCCCTGTGAAGCAATGAAGCAATGTACAGTCTCTGGTTTTTACAGATGAGCAAAACAGTTTCAGAAGTGTTAAGGAAAGGCACTAGAGAGAGCTTAGTGACGTGCTTGCCTCCCAAGCATGAGGACCTGAGTCTGAGCCCCAGAACCCAAATAAAAATGTCTGGTGTGGCAGTGCAAGCATGTAATCCCAGCACCAGGGAAGTGGAGAGAAGGATCCCTAGAGCTCGCTGGCTAGCCGGTCTAGTTGGTGAGTTCTAGGTCAATGAAAGATGCTGCCTCAAAGGAGGCGGATGGCATTCCTGGGTATGAGCCCTGAGGTTGTTCTCTGGCTTCTACATACACACTTGTGCTCACATGTACACCCCCACACGTGAACACACATGTGAATATTCACATACACACGTGTGTTTTTTAAAGAGAGAGATTAAGAAAATTTGTTCAATGTCTCAAGTAAGTATAAGAGAAGAGATGAGCTCTCAGCCTCTTGGAAGCTGTGCTGGCTCTGTGGGCCGCAGCCATAGTCCCTGGCGGTATCTCAGTGATTCTGAGCATGAGCAGTGGACTTCACCTCTCAACTGCTTCATTTTCTTGCCTGCCTTGAACTGAACAGAGCTCAACCTCATCACCCCCTTCTCTGCTCCATGAGCCCCAGCACCTGCCTTCATAAGTAGTCCTGTGGGTGGAACAGGGGTCCTCTGGGCAAGGTTCTCTCAGAAACGCATCAAGCCAAAACTCCAGGTCCCGTACCAGCTGCTCCAGCTCCCGCACTTCTTTCTCGAGTTCCTCCAAGAAAACATGCAAGTTCATCTTCAGCCAGTTCCTGAAGGTCCTTATTGGCTCTTCCGTGGGTTCACTGGTCTGATATTCAACCCCCTGAAAGGCAGACACCATGGTTGTATCTTGAGAATTTTCAAGTGGGTTTCTGGTTTCAGGAAGTTCCTGGGTCTTCATGCGTGCTATTCATTCTGCCTGGAGTACCCTTCTCTACCTTTTCCACCTGGCAAGTTCCTGTTTATCCTTCCCACATTAGCTCATGGAAGATATCTCTTCTGGGAAGCCTTCCTAGGCCCAGCACCTCAGTAGTCCCCCAAGCACATTTCTGAGTGTTACCTGGGATGCCACAGGATTCTGAGGATAGTTGCACTCTCTGATCCTTCCTGACACCTCCCAGCCATTTCCTGAAACAGGAAGACATCTCTTCTTAACAGAAGAGCAGAGTGTGGCAGCTGGATTAAGTGTGATTCATCTCCCCAGAGGGGAGGGGAGGTTGGAGTGGACATGTCCTTGGGACCCCTCACAGGCATCTCTCTCCAAGACCCCCACCTGACTCTGCAGATTAAGTTTCTCCTTTATCAGATTCTAGATGCTCACCTGATATCCCTGTGCCCAAGTACAGCACCAAGACCAACAGTGCTAACAGCGTCTGAGGAAAAGAGGGGCATGGAGAAGTGAATTCCTGGCTCCCACATTTCTGTCAGGGTCTAGTCATAGAGAGCTGTTGGTCATTTTTAGACTTAACTTCATTTCCCACTATCTAAGTCACATGTGTTCACAGACATTACAGAATCAGATAACATGACGACATGCTGATATTTAGTTTGTGTTTTCCTTCCTGTTTCTTCTCTGAGAAGAAAGGTCCATCTCTGCTCTCCTTCTTTGAATCACTCTAACATTTTTATCCTGATCGTTGAAAAGAATTGGCTTTATTGCAGTATAATTTATATATAATGAAATGCATACATTTATATGTGTTGGATTCATTTTGACAAATGTCTATACATATGGATTATGACCCCCATGAAGATCTAGAACCTTTCCTTCACCTCAGAGAGTTCCATCAAGCCCTTCTCAGCGAGTTCTCTCCCCAACCTCTCTCAGCGAGTTCTCTCCTCAGGCCTCTCAAGTCAGTTCCATCCTCAGTCCTCTCTCAGCCACTTCCCTTGTTTACCCCTGTGGTGATTCCCATCACCATGGCCATGATGCCTGTTCTTCAGCATCATGAGAATTGAATCAATGGTGTCTGCACTTAATTTCTTCTGCACAATGTTTCTCATGCTCCTCCATGTTTTTGTGTGTTCAGTTTTATTCACAAGTATGTTGTGTGAACATAGCAGAATTGAAACCCACCTCCTGGTAATGAATTGTTTATAGTTTAGGTGATTATGGATAAAAGGGTCCTGATTATACACATACCTGCCTTTGTGTGGACATCTTTATCATTTCTCTTAGGTGAATATCTAGACATGGAAATGCTGGAATGTGACATGAGTTATGATCAATTTTAGAAGACCCTTCAGAACTGTTTGTTCCGCTTCGTGTTCCCATCAGCAAATCAGAGAATTTTAGGTGTTCCACATCTTTGTCCACTCTTAGTATTGTCAATTTTAATTTTAGGCATTCTATTTCTTGTGTCGAGACATCTCTATCTATTTCAAGTGCATTCTCCATATGATTAATGAGGATTGGCATCTTGCCATGGTCTACTGATGATTCTGAATCTATGTCTTTTTCTGTTATGCTCACTAAAGTCTTTTGCTCATATTTTATTGGACTGCTTGTCTTGTGATTAAGGTGGCTAGTGTTTAAAAATATTTTGGATATAAGTAGTTGGAAAGATGTTTATATTGTGAATATTTTATTTAATTCTATTGTTTGCGTTTTCATTTTCTTACAGGGTCTTGTGAAAATCAAAAAGTTTCTGTTTTTATGAAGTCTAGTTCATTCTTTGTGGTTGTGCTTTTCACAAGGCATCTAGAACATTTTGCCTATTTCAGTGTTGTGATTTCTCTCCTATTTCTTCTAAACATTTTTTGGTTTAGCTTTTACGTGCATATGGACCATTTTAAAGTAATTTTGTATATAATGTAAAATAAGGATTGAGATTTTTAGTGTAGGTCTCCAGTGGTTCTACAGTGATTTTTAAAGACAATTTTTCCTCATTAAATTGTTGATGTCTTTGCCACAAGTAATGCCATGTGTTATGCTGGTGTGTTTCTGGATTCTGTTATTTCATTGTTTTACAGTCTGTCTTTATGTGAATGCTAAATCTGCATTAGTTAGCATTCACTAGCATTTCCGTAACAGAATTCTGAAGACTGAATGCTTTAAATGGCAGACATGTATTTTCTATCTGTTCTGGAGGCTGAAAGTCCAAGATCCTGGGCTTGCAGGTGGTCACCTTCTTGTGTGTCCTTAGATGAATTTTCCTCTGACTCATACATTCCTTATTGTCTCTTCTTATAAGGACACCGTCCATCCCATAGGACTAGGGATATAACCTTTATTACTTCCTTAGGACTTTTATCTACAAATATGGTCACTTGGGGGTTAGGGCTTCAATGTATGAATTTTGGGAGACAAAATTCTGTCACAAAATGCCTGTATCGACACCATCTTCTTTCATAACATACAACATCTAGATTACTATTACTTTATAGTAATATTTGTAATTGTACGCAGTAGGTTTTTTCAACTTTGTTATTTTTCAAACTTATTTTGTCTATTTGGAAATGTTTGTATTTTCCCATACATTTTAGAGTTAACTTTTTTAGTTTTTATTTTGAAAAAAATATCTACTAGGATTTTGATTGATACTACAATGAATCTTTAGATGTTTGGTAAGCAAGAATGTTTTATCTTGTGATATTGTAAAGATAAATATTTTATCTTGTGATCCACAAACATGGTATGTTTCTTTAACTTCTTTCTCTCTCTCTTGCTCTTGCTCTCGCTCTCTTTTTTGGTCTTTTTGAGACAGGGTCTCCTGGTAGCCCCAGCTGTCCTGGAATTCACTATGTAGACCAAGTTGGCCTTGAGCTCACAGAGATCCACCTGCCTCTGCCTCCCAAATGCTGGGACTCCAGGCGTGTGCCACCATGCCTGGCTTTCTTTAATTTTTTTTAATAAGCTTTGTTGATTTCAAGTATAATGATCTCATACATATTTACAAAGTATTCTAAGGTTGTTGATACTTTATGAATGAAAATGTAAAATTTCATTTCCTAACTGTTGGGCTATAGAAATCAAATTGAGTCTTTATCTTGTGACTTAATTACCTTTAATCGGTTTTGGTAGGGTTTAAATTTTGTATATGGAAAATTAGAATGTCTACAATTATTTTTACTTTTCTAAACTTTATCTTTAAAAAATGGGCTATGGATCTGAACGGAGTTCTCAAAAAGAGAAATTCAAATGGCTAAGAAATATTTTTAAAAAGTTTTCACCACCCTTAGCCATCAGAGAAATGCAAATTAAAAGTACTTTGAGATTTTATCTTATGACCCAGTCAGAACAGCTAAGATTAAGAAAACAAATGACACGTGTTGGCTAAATGTGGGGGAAAAGGAGCTCTTATTCACTGTTGGTGGAGTACAAACTGGGGCAACCACTATGGAAATCAGTTTGGTGGTTGTTCAAAAATACTAGAAATAAGTTTACCATGTAACCCAGCTACACAATTCCTGGGCATCTACCTAAAGGACTCTGTTTGCTACACAGAGACACTTGTTTATCCATGTTCATCACTGCTTTATTCACAATAGCTGGGACATAGAAGCAGCCTAGATGTCCATCACCTGGTGAATGGATAATGAAAATGTGTACCTATATGCAATGGAGTTTTATTCATCTATAAAGAAAGATGAAATTTTGAAATCTTCAGCTATTTGGATAGAATTGGAAAACATTATATTGAGTGAGGTAACCCAGACCTAGAAAGAAATGTCACATGTCCTCACTTATATGTGGATCCTAGTGTCAACTCATTAGATTTGTGTGTTTAGCTTAGAGGACCTATAGAACTCAGGAAACTAGAATGGGGCTATTGGTAGGAAAAGGGGAAAAAAATCTTAAGAAAGGGGATAACAGAGTATGAGTGATAGTAAGTATAAAAGGGGAATTATGGGGAGTAAGGGTTAAGTTGGGAGAGAGATGGGAGGGACAGAGAAGAGAGTGAGAGGAGGGCTAACTAAGACCAAGGATGTTTGAAAAAGCCATATGAAAACTTTGTGTGTGTGTGTGTGTGTGTGTGTGTGTGTGTGCACTCATATAAAAGAATTTAACTGGAGTTACCCTACACATAGGATAATGCTCCTACTAGAAGTATTAATTTGCTAAATAAAAAGCCCAGTGTCAGGTGGGGGATACCTCTCCTCAAGTGTGTCCTGGAGACCCCCTCCCCAAACAACACAGGCTATCACTTTACTCTTGGTTGCCCACCAGAACTTGATGGTTAGGTCTTCTTGCTGAAGACATCAGACACATTGGTCACAGGACATAGAGAAATCAAATTGGTACTGACTGGGAAGCTTCCTCCATGCCGGCTACCTCTCATAGGACAGCCTGCCGGGGGAGAAAAGTCGTCAACAATCTTACCCAGCTTTGAACCCTAGATCTACAATAATGACTGGTGTGGGAAGATATGCCCATGGGTGCAATCGTGGCATGAATACTATGGGTTAATCAACCACTTTCAGATTGGAATTTAGGCCTGCCACATGTCTGATACTGTAAATCTGGCCAAGAAAGCATAGTTGGGGAGCTCATAGACCCTGGGGTGCACCTACTCCTACTATTTTGCTAAATGGACATAGTATCAAACTGTCTCTAAATTTGTATCTCTCGTACCCTTGGGTTAGTGCAGCTCTTAGACCTCATCAGAGAGGTTTCTTTGTGCCGTGGATCATGGTTAACACCGAAGCTCAAAACGGATCAAAGTGCAGTATATAAATACCAGTGGAATGCTCAGCCACACGTGGGACATCCCTCCCCCAAAGCTGAGGGGCCACTGAGGAAGAAGGGGCTGAAAAGAGTATAAGAGTCAGAGGTTGGAGAGGACTGGGGCAAATCATTATTTTCTGTCAAGACAGGAGCACTGAACTCATGGACTTAGCAGCTGTGGTTGCCTGCATAAGACCTGCACAAGATCAAGTCAGTCAGCATGCTAGCATGGAGGGGGAGGGACTCACAAGCCCCCACCCTTAGCTAAGAAGCTATGGATGGACAGTTTATAGCTACTGGGGAGGAAGGGTCAGTCTTAAGGGTGTGGCCCGTGGTAGGTTGACAGTGTTCCAGTGAATGACCTCACACCTATGAGTATATGGGCAGCAGAAATTAGACTTGGTGGGTTATAAAAAAAAAAAAGAGAGAGAGAGCAGGGGCTGGAGAGATGTCTGAGCAGTTAAGAGCACCTGCTGCTCTTACAGAGGACCCAGGTTGGGTTCCAGAATTCACCTGGTGGCTCACAACCACCTGTAACTCCAGGGTATCTGACACCCTTTCTGTATCGTGGGTAATGCAAGGAAGATGCAGACACGGGTGAGAACTAACTTTTAGTCCTTTTCTTTGTTCTATTTTGGGACCGGAACTGAATCATTACTTTTCTTTGAGTCTCAATTTATCTGTAAAATTGGATTTTTGAATATAAATATGCTCCTGGTTCTTAGATGAGAAAGGGAAGGGACTCCAGTGGAATCAGTTGCTTTACATTTCTTGTTGCAGGACTTCTCAGAGCGTCATTATGGGTGGCAGTGAAGTCTCCTGCGGGATTGAGGGTACACGGTATTCTCAAACCACATAATTCTTTATGGTTTCCCTAAAAGTCACAGCCCCTGAGGCTGGGGATCTGGAGAATTCTTTTCAGGAAAAGCTGGATGGGTGTTCATCAGACCCATCATGTACTGTGAGATCTAGCACACAGGGAGTGCTCAGTGAATAAATGAGCAAATCTTTTTAAACAACATAGCCACTCATTGCCCACTTAAAATTCTTAAATGGCTTATTATCCTCAGGCTAGAATCTCACCTTTTCTATCTTATAAGGCCAGTGTCCATGTTGTGTCCCCGCTTCCCACCTGACTTCTCCACCTGGGGACAGTGGCGCACAGGCACTCTTGCTCTGGGCTCTTCAAGCCCATGGACCTGGATTCCAGTCCTGACATGTCTCAGCTGTTGGTGCTCTTTTGGCTTTTCTGAGCTTTGATGTTCTTAACTGTGAGCAAAGTTGACAGTGCCTGTCCTTGAGGAGCGTTATAGGTCATGAAACATAGAAGGGGCAGGAGTACCACGCTAGGCATTGCTCCTAGCAATCAAACATTTTCTGTTTTGACAAAACCTCACGTGAGTTTGAAGTTCAGCCCTGGACAAACTCCTCCAGGGGCCCTTTGGCTCTACCGCATTCACTCACTCATTCAATACCCTCTATGCACTATTCACTGTTCTAGGCACCAGGGATTTAGCAGGAACCAGACCCAGCCCTGCTGGAACATACATACTTTCTAGACTGTGCCAGGAATGAAGTAAGAGTCTGTCAAGGTTGGGGAAGAGGCACCTGGGTCCCTATGCTGGGCTCTGCCACTGGAACAGGGCTGCAGTGAGAGGTGGGTGGAAGACCCTCCCTCACCCTGAAGATCTTCCTGTCTGTCTGAAATGAGAAGGGATGGGGGAAAACAGCCTGTCGCCTGGCCTTACCTGCTTCCTGTTGTCACAGTGGCTGTCCCTTCTCTGTTCAAACAGCTCGGCTGCCACCTGCCCCTTGCCACCCATCTGTTGGATTGCCATGCCCCAGGTCAGGCTGCCTGAGAGGATGGAGGTGCTTCCAGTGCACAAGTAGATGGGCACCTCCCCTCCCCCACCTCTGGTCAACCAGGCAAGCATGAGTTCTGATGTCACAGAAGGCAAAAGATTGCAAAGGTGACCTTTCCCCCAGTCTGAGTCTTACCCTTCCTCTCACATTACAATATATATACATATACATCATATATAACAAATGTCAGGGAGAAATACATTGGAAGCTTGTGTTTTCAGGTGATGATTTTTTTCTGATCTCTTTTCTTGTGGAGTTCTCACACTCATCGTTAATACCAGCACTTGAGAGGCAGAGGCAGGCAGGTTGCTATGAGATTGAGGCCAGCCTTGGGATGCTCTACATAGTGAGTTCCAGGCCATCTTGGGCCACATGGTGAGACCCTGTCTTAAAAAAAAAAAAACAAAAACCAGGCGTGGTGCATTCCTTTAATCCTTGCACTCTGGAGGTGGAGGCAGGCAGATCTCTGTGAGATTGAGGTTAGCCTGGTCTACATAACAAATTCTAGGCCAGCTGGGGCTGCAGGGAGACCTTGTTTCAAAAGGACCAAAACAAAACAAAACAAAAAGCAAATCTTAAAACATAAAAAATAAGCTATTTTTAATTGAAAATTATGGAGACCATTGTAGATTGCTACCTAGTTGGAAGAAATAATAGAGGACATTTGCTTAGCCCTTGCCCTGTTTTTCCCTGTGATAACATCTTCCATCACTGCAGGATACTGTCACAGCTGGGATGTTGGTTTAATCTACTGATCTTACTCTGTTTTATTTGTCCTTGTGTGCATGCATATTTGTGTTTAAATTTTGTTTTGTTTTGTTTTTTCTTTCTTCTTTGATTGATTTATTTTTTTAATGGGGCTTTTGGCTACTCTAACATTCCCCCCTCTGAAGAGGTAACCCTAAAATCTTTTAAGGACTAGGTAAAAGTTCCCAAATATTTTTGGTGTTTTTGGCCTTTGGAACAGAGTATGTTGCTAAGAGGCACAAGGACGTTGTGAGTTTTAGCCAAGAAACTGACTACTTTTCTTTGGGGTCTTTTTATCCTAACTGCCTAGCCGATTCTTACCTCCTATTCTTATCACACCATCCTCTGAAGAGGTTACCCAACTTGCCAATAGGGAATAGGGACGCAGACTGCTCTGGCTTCTTCCATGCTGAACAGGGATGCAGAGTGAGGCAATTGGAGTGTCCCTTCAGTGGGTCTATCTAAAAGATCCCAAATTGCATAACTCGTATCGCAAGGAGGAAAAGAAAGTCCTTGAATCATGAATAGGAGATGTGAAGGAGAAGTAAAGACAAGAGTAATTAGCATTACAAG